CTATCCTATTCATTGGCGCAGGATGTGCACAATTTCCATGCACTTTTCTCTCAAATTCAACATTTTTTTTCCCAAGCTGCTTGCTTCTAATTTGGGAATGTGAGCGGAGGACGAGGGGGCAGCGCATAACAGAATACAACTAGAAAACTGAAAAACCGAAATACTCGGAAACAGCTTAAAAAGCAACTTAAAATGTTTAAGCCAAATAGTACGCTCCGTTAGCTGAAAGACGTAAAAGCGTAAAAGTTTTCCAAATCAGCTTATTAGGTTTATGGTGCTCAGTTCCCTTTCCCTTCATTCCCATTACTTTTACAATTTAAAACCTTTCAATTTGCAAAATGTTTTTACAATTTTCCGAACAGGCAAAACTTGCAAAGTTAAACAAAAGTCAAGCAGCGCACTTTATGCAGCGGATGTGTTTTTTCTTCTACTTCCCTTCCTGCCATGTAATGAACGTAGATATGTCGGAGGAGTTATGAATATTCTTGAATATCTTGTTCATATCATGCTTAAATGTTGTTTTTCATTCGGTATTCAATTTGCAATCGTTCAAAATCGATAAGTATCGATACTATGAGGTTGTAAGAACTGTTCTAGAAGTGCAAAACTGAATCAATACTTAAATATTGTACTGCTTTCGATATCCAAGTTGAGCAAGAAAATTATGTTATAAGGGACCCTTTTGTTAATTTCGAATCAAAGTAAACTAAAGGGCGGACCTAGAGGGATTACCTCATGCGGCGTGCATGCTGCACACTGACAAAATGTGTTGTAAAACAGCTGGAGCCAGCCCGCCCGCCATTTCTTTAGGGCCGGGCCGGAACGCACACAAATCATATCCAATTGCCACATTGAGCTGGCGGAAAGAGCTTATCTAATTGCTTTTCATTTTTCGCTCGGAACGGAAATACCTTCTTCTAACATATACTTGTGCATATATTTGTATATTTATAGAAATAAAATTCAGATAAAGGTAATTTGTTATGCCACAAAACATTGACCGGATGTTGCCCTAAATAGCCCTCCGATTCAAACTCGAAATTCGCTTAGCTGTCTTTGTTTGGTCGAGTGCTCGATATGCACAATAATGTGGCACAGAAGAGCTCTAAAGTGCCAGGTGCGATATCCGCCGCACTTCAGGCTCAACTGTGCGAAATGTGACCCGACGGCAACTAAGCAGTAAACGAATATTGAAATATACTGAACCGACGTCAAGTGATGAACTGCCTGCTCAGTAGAGCCCATTAAAATGTTAGATGAATGCGTACACTTAGAGAAAAACGATGTACAAATCGAATTTTAGCCCTACTATATGCTGGGCTCTCGTATTAGTCTAATTAAAACCTCATGTTTATTTTACAAAAAACGAATCAAATTAAGTGAAGAATTTCCCCTACTTCATATGCACTGAATTTTGAGACTTTTTCGGGCTTAAGAGCAACAATTTTTGCCTGCTCAGGAAATTTCTACTTTTGAAAACCAAATTGGTTTATTCGCTGAGTGTACTGTCCAGCCCCGCCCACACGTCCCTCAACACGCCCACACGGCCGCCTGTTGTCAGTTCTGGTTTCATGCTCGGACGCACAACAACTGACAGCCGCAAGCTGGTGGTCCGGTCCAGGCAGGAGGCACAAGACAAAATCCTTTGTGGCTTTTGGTCAAGAAATGCGCAACGAAATCAACTTGAAAGCGTTGAAAATCTGATTCCAAAAATCTGCAAAAAAAAACTCCACGTAAAGCGCACAACAACAGCCCAAGTCTCAAAGGCAGCAAATATTTCAAAGAAAATAAGCCGCAAAATAAAACAAAAATTTTCACCAACAAAACTTGAAATTCTTTGGCCGGAGCCGCGCCTCCTCACGCCCAACCCCCCACCAGACTTTCTGGCTACTTAAGCTGTTTACTCAACCGTAAGACGTACCTGGCCATGTGGCCAGGTGATGCCAGCTGCCACGAAATGCCATCTGCCCCACTTTGTGGCACGGAGCTGTCAATTGATTTCGTATTGCGAACGCGTCCACCGAACTCTGATTAAAACTCTGCGCACCTAACTTAATCAATTTCCGTTTCAATTTACGCGCGACTAGCAATAGAATACAAACTGTTTGTTTGATATGATTCTGTACAAGTTTTAAAAGTTGTTATAGGCAGTGGGAGGTTTTCGTATAAAGAGTAGCATAATAATCTTGTCTAACCTTCTATTGAACCCCTGCGAGCTCAATAAGTATCAGGGACGAGAGAAATTTGTGGCTGTTTGAAATTTTGCAATAATTTTCAATTTCTTTATTCATGGATTGAGTCTGTTATAGTACGCAAAGCAGAAAGACAAAACTAATTTAGTTTGGGTGCACTTTGAGAGGCTTTGTATCTGCCTTATTATCTTATCACAAGACTCTTATTATTATTATCATAATTATTATTATTATAATTAATATAATATATGTATATTTATTTGATTTTTATTGATTTGTTTAATGAAACTTTTTGCTTCGATTTTTGGTGCGTGATTATAAATACATCTCCCACTTATAATCTCAGGTGTATCTTTAAGCAGGTATTATTTTTGATAATTTTCGCGTTCGAAATTGTTGGGTCGTGTCCGTGGGTTGGGCAGGGGTCTTGCGAGTCTTGCCGCAAATGGGAAAACTAAAGACCACTTTACGGCTGCTGGCGACAGCTGCAAATTGAATGAAATTAAGCCGAAAGTTAGAGCCCGCCATTTATTAAGTGGCTTTGCAGGACGACTGCCTGGCGACAGGATGTCAAAAGAAGCAACAGCAGCAGCAGCCGTCCGCCAACAAAAGCCATTTTAATTGAATGAAGTCCTTTTGAATGCCACCAGCACCTGGCAACAGCAACAAAAACAACAACGTCAGCCAACTGGAAAGCTGATTACTTACACACTGCCACAAACAATGCAAATTTGCATGTGATAAAAGCTCTACTGCGGCAAAATTCGCATAGATAAATACTTAGTTGGAAAACTGGAGTCGAAGCCGAGCAACCGGACCGAGTCAGGAAAAGCGCAAAGATGACAGCTTCACAATTGAAAAAGCAGAAAGAAATTACATTTGAAAAAAAAGTTCATTTATGAGTTAAACGCATTTAACTCAACTTTAAAGCCACACTCATCCACCCATTTTCCGCCCGGGGAAACATTTAAATATTTCTCTTTTGGCGAAATGCATTTGAGCTTTCAGCGAATCAAGTTTCGAATAAGAATTTTAAAGGCCAGATAGTCTTAAGAAATATCCTATAAAATACTAACTTTTCCATCTTGGTGACTTTAAAAACTAAATCTATGTAGGTTCTCTAGGTACCAAGACCACACCAAATAATCTCGCTTTCTGTTAGCAAGAGCTAACCAACGGGTTTTCTCACACATATAAAAATCTCATAGTATAGTCACAAATACTAGATCTACAACATTTTTATAAAATTTGTGCTATATTTGTGGATAATCATAAACCGTAGACCGGCATCCATCGTATTTTTTTTTTTTTTTTGAATTTTTATCCGTTCAGATACGACAAATATGAAAAATTTCCCTTGCAAATATAATTGAATATTGATAAAAAATTTGAAAACTTGTCGACCCGATCCGACTCTTCGATTACTTCACTATAACAATAACACACTGGAGAGCTGGAATGTGTTACTCCCCAAATTTAGTGGCCTTCTAGATGTCGACTCCCACAGTTAGCTCCATGATGGCATTGACCACATCGCTCTTGTGCTTGATCAGCGCCTTGATGGCCGTTTGGCGCGTGCAGCCGGCCTGCATTTGCACCAGCTCGATATCCTTCTCGTCCAGAGCATTGCCGAGTGCATCAATGTCGACGTCCACATCCTCGTCCTCATTGGTGGCCAGCAGCGGATCTCTGGCATCGTTGACCAGCTGCGGTGCACGCACATTCACATCGTTGATGTAGCGCTCGGCTGCCTGGGCGGCGGCTGCGTTTGAGGTATTCTCGATGCGCACCTCACCGAAGCAGATGAGGGTCTTGCTGTTGGGGCACTTGTACACCTCCGGCTGGTCGATGCAGAGCAGCACGTTCTTGGCCTTGCGCATGGTCACACGCGAAACATTGGCCACCGGCTCCAGGTCCAGTTTCATGAGCAGGCGACGCGCCTTCTTCTCGCCGCGCGAATATTTTGGCGCCGAGAGCAGTTCGGCGGGCACATCCGTTGACGGCTTCTGCTGTCGCTGCGGTGCCGACTGCCCTACTCCGCCTGCCGCTGCCTGTTCTTCTTCAGATGGCGCCGGATCGGGCGCATCATCGCTGTCAGAGCTGTCCGAGGCCGATGAGCCGGAGCCGGATGATGGCTGACTTTTGCGTGTGCCGCTTGGCAGCGTTTGCAAATTCTCGGCCAGGCTCATCAGATTTTGCATATTGTTATAGATGGCCCGTATGTCTGGCTTTTGGTTGCTCTCATCGCTCTTGTTCTTGTTCTTGCTACTTTTGTTGCTGTTATTTTTGTTGTCGTTGTTGTTGTTGCTGTTACTGTTGGCTTCAGCAGCTGGAGCTGACTGTGCGGCTACGCTGGCAGCGGCCTTGGCGGCTGCAGCTGCCTTCTTCATCTTTTGTTTTTTGCCCATTTTCAAGCTCTTTTCTTTTTAGCAGAAATTCCAAATAGTTTTCGCCTCACAAATATTGACGAGCTGCAATTTATTTCAACAAAGTTCCGTTCACAAATTTTAATAATTTTTATTATTTTCTTTTTCTCCCGTCAATTCGGAAAATTCACTTGCCTTTGGGAGACGTCAACGCTTTTCGTAAGTTTCGATTACAAGAGAAAAGGGCTCACTTAGTGCGTTAAGTTGGCTGCGTTGGCGGCAGTGTTGTAAGTGTGCGACGCTTGAACAGTGTTGGTAAAAAATTATAAAAATGCCTCGATCTGCCACGATTGTCACTCGAAAATAAAATGTATTTGTCACCAACAATTGAAGGAAAAAATACTGTTTTCACAGCAAAAAGTTACTTAGAAGTTTAGTTCTTTTTTTTATAGTTCAACATATATATTACATGTTCCATTTGACAATAGTATAGGTACTCGCGTCTAAATTTGCTTAGAAAAATTGAAGAGTACTAGATACTTTACTTTAAATATTTTGACTAATTGGAGTTAAACAATGTTGTGAATTGTGGCGTATTCTTTGTCCGGCTTTAATACAACGTTAAGAAACATTTTCTTTTTCTATTAAGTCAATGGTTATTTTCTCCTAAATTCCACTATACATAGATCATCTTATGATGGTGCCCAAATAGACATCGCTGATATTCAGTGTCCAGAATAAGTTTCAGTTAAGGAAAACCATATCATAATTGAATTCTTATTTTTTGCGCACTTTCCTTCAACTCAATTACTTAACCCTTCACTTTTTATTGGGACCATATGCCGAGGTCAGTGTTGGAAAACGCATAAAACGTTCCGTACCAAATATCGAGTGCAAAAAAGTAATCATTCTTAGCATTTTGTTTGCCTAATTGGATTAAAAGTTTTGCATCTGCATTTGACAGCGAATACATGAAATTTGTAGAACCAAATCCAATAAAATTTGCGGCTATCGCAGCGAATTTGATTGAAATTGATGATTGAGCCAAAATATGCAAGGCGAGGACACGTTGCCACTGCAAGAAGCCAATTGCAAGCAGTAGAAAACGGAAAGTGGAAAGGGAAAATGCTGCTCGTGACAAAAGGGAGACTGACTCGCTGTGTTTGGTAGAGGCGTTCCGAGGGACGGAGGGGTCGCTTTAGAGGTGCATTCTGCAAGTTGAGTGCGAATTTAATGCGCGTCGCTTCGGGGCGCAATATGCGCGGATAAAAGCCAAACGGATGTGACTAGAAAGGCAATGGGTTTGCCAAGCGGTGCTCGGGGGAGAGGGGGTCGGGCCGTTGCACATTGTGCGGACGGAAGTGGAGCGCACAATGCACAAAAAGGCGAAAACCAAGCCAAGCTGTATGGCAGCCGGTTGACAAGCGCAACAAATGTATTTTAAAGTAATTTCCTTGCATTTTAATTGCAGCAGCGCTTGCAACGAGGCGTGTGCGGCATAAGCAGGGGCAGAGGGGGGGTTGGGAATGCCCTCTGTTCACTACCCAAAAAAAAAATAATGCAAAAACAAACAAGCCCATCCTGCCAGCTGCTCTGGTAACTGCGGTTTTTTTTGTGGCATGCTAGAATATAAGAGATTAAAGGGGAACTAGCGCACTTGCTAACTGCTTCAGATAGAGGAGGAAAGGGAAGCGATGTCATTGTGACATTGTGTGCATTTTTGTATGCAACTGGCTAAAAGCCGCACATTCACTTAATTAAAAAATGGTCGCGACCTATTAGGCGCCGCGGCACCTACTTCACTTGTTGCCGCGGCACGCTTAAATATTTTTTTTTTAATGTAAGATATGCAAATAGGTTTTCTTGGGCTTGTCTAATTAAATTGCTGCATGTTCTTTAGAGCTTATTTCTTTAAATGAAGCTTTCGCAAGCTTAAAGCATAATTAATTGCAACTAATTAAATTAAGATCAGTTAAAGTGCTTTACAATCAGGTAAACAGGGGATTAAAAGCGAGCTTTCTAATCCCTTTCTCTAAAGAAGCTTTCAAAGCTCGTCAAAGCTTGGTGTTTGATTTATGGTACTTTTGTATATCCACCCATAAAATTAGTTTTAAACGCCCTTTTAAGTTTCACGCAGCGTCAAAAGCTCTGAAAGCTTGAATCTTAGCTGATTGTATAAATTTTTGTTCATTATTTTTACATAGGATGCACATAGGTGTGAAGTATATTTGAAAGCTCATTAAAGCCTTAAGCTTCAATAGCTTGTCCTTAAGTAGAGGATTATATACTGATTTACTCTATAAGCTCATGCAAGTTTAAAGCTTTAAAAGTAAGTTATTTCTTCTGTACTTGCAATTGAAGAAAATAGCTATAAAATAAATTGCAGTTAATAATATTTAATAAAACTGCCTTTTTTTTTTTAAACTTTCCTAAAACTTACTTAAATACTTTGCATTTTGTGGAAAGCAATCAAATCGAATGATGAGTTCTCCACCATATCAAATAAAGCTTAAGCAGTTTTTAATGGATGAGTGCTTAGCAAATGGATGTTGAGTTTATTTATGGTCTCCGGCAAGGCCAGGGTCGGCACTTGGTTGTTTTTATAGCTCTGGCACTTTGTTTGTGTTTGTCTGTGTGTTTACGTATTTTTACTTTTTTATTATGATTTTTTTCTATTTATTTTCCTTGTTGCATTCGCTGATGCGTTTTTAATTGCACGACATTTTTAATTAAAGCGAATGACAAGGGAAAGCGGCGGGCATTACAAAGTGAAATACTGAACGTTTTGCAATTATTAGAGTTGATTGCCAGGTCGACTGCATAAATTAACAAACAGGAAAAGGAAATGGAAAAGACAGAAGAAAGTCGCATAGATGCCGCTGTCCGCTGACGTCAGTCGATTAAATTGAATCCTAGTGGGCAGCTAATCAAATATTCCCTTTACGGGCAATAAATTTATATATATTAGTGGGCAATATTATAAAGAGCTTAACTAACTTTTCTTTGGCCAACAACTTTGCCCGCGGGCCTTTTAGGTGGGCGTTGGGAAAACTTTGGGATCGGCACGTTCGAGCGATGATTAATTATGCCGCCGCATATGTTGCAATGTCATGCGACATTGGGACGCCGTGGGCTCGTTCAACTTATTGAAGCTTAGTTCTGTTTAGTTTTTGCACAGCCAGCGGTAACGGGCGGCGCATGAAAAATGAATCGAAATGCCCAAGACGCAGCCAATGGCAAAAGGAATTCGAGTCACCGCCAGGTCCTGGTCCTGGGGAATAACTATGTCAAGGCAATATAGCCCTGTCCGGGACAACGAATCTGTGGACACATTAATCATCCAGCTTATGCGAAATGATTGCATACACATGATCCGACAGCGACCAGATACACATACCTACATACCATATATACATAAATGTAAACTCAGTCAAAGGGTTTGACTTGTGTGTCAACAAGAAAGGTCCACAAATAAACTTGAATTTAATCTGAGAACTTCGAGTATTTGCCAGTAGCAAATAGCAAACAGAATATGTAATTACGAGTGTATTCATTTTATTCGCTTTCACTCAATTTTCAGCTGGCGCGGAGGCAAACAACTGAACTTTGCTGGCATCTACTTATTAACTTAAATACTGTTATACAAATGGGCTTTCACTTTGATTTCAATCAGAAGTGCCTTTGTTTTCTAATTTAAAATCTGTTCATTTAAAATACATACATACCCACACCCGTACATATAAACATGCATAATTTCACACATATATACATACATGCATACCTCATCCTCCTGCTCCTCCGCCATGCTTCTCCGGACCTCTGCTTCCAGCGTTGAAGCCGCCTACGCCTAATTCATGGGTGAAGCCTGCAATCCTTACTCACATTTTTGAGAATACGTTTTCTCATTTAAATTTGCCGCGCCATTAGACAAATTGGTCTGCTATTGGTATTTTATAACACATAAACACATTCATACATTCATTCACTCATTCATACACATATAGACACATGCATACATACATACATACATACATACATACATACATACATACATACATACATACATACATGTATACATACATGCATATATAAATACAGATATACATATCGAATCAAGTCGTTATTTATTTCTTGACCAAAATCCGCAGTTAAGAGCTTTAGAATTCCCCCCCAAAAATTTGCAAAGCCGTAAGCCATATGTACGCCAGGGGTTTTCATGTTCGGCGTGCGAATGTAAATTTTTGTTTATTTATTTTCAAGCTTATCGCTGATTTTTCGCAATTTTTCTGTAATTTCTGGGCACTTTCCTTAATTTAAGACAATTTATTAACATAATTTATTGCTCTCTGCAAAAGTATTTTCTTGATAAATCCAGCAGAACTTTAATATAATTCTCTACCTTTTGCTTTGTTTTATAAAAAGGAATTCTCCGTTTAACTACCAAAAGTGCTGTTAATTTATATTCAACATTCACTAAATTGAGGCTTTGACCTATCAGTAACTACTTATATTGGACATACCCTTATCCATTCTTAGGCAAAGTGTCAAAAAAAGGCAGCTAAACATTTGGGCTATTCCCACGCACACATTTATTTGGTCAATACAAATCTTTCCTTTGTTTATTTAATAGTTGTTCTTGCTTTTGGGGATTTTTCTGTTGGGATAGATTGACAGGTAATTGCATTTAATTCTGTTGCTTTTTGTGTCCTTCATCACTTCGTTGGCGACATTTGCCTTAAGCCCAAACAGATTTGTGTGTAGCCGAGCGACAGTTGATGAGTCCCAGTCACAGTGTTTGACAATAATACGTAATAAAGCGCGTGTTTCGTGGAAATATGTGAGCTAAAGCAAAAAAAGGGACCCAAAATAGGTGCCAATGGGGCTGGTGGAGGGGGGTGGTTCAGGTAACGACCACCTGAAGCCCGTTGAAGCGGCAAGGAAAATCAATTTCCTTTTGGGCACAGCTCCTGGCGCTTTGGCAAAAAGAAGCCTGACATTTATTACCATATAAACAGCAAGAATTATTCGTAAGAGAGCACAAAAGGAGCGGAAACTGCAGCGCAACAATGCTCAACAACTTCTTCGTCCTTCCACTTGTAGCCGAGTCGCAAGGCTGCGGATGGATTCTGTATTGTGTATATTGAGCGAAATATCGTAAATTTATATGCGTATATATATATATGGCAATGCCGGAAAAGCGAAAAGTTGTTTTCCCTCCCCCGCCACAAAATACGCTTAAATGCAATTCGAAGCCCACGCACAGTGGTACGAAAATTTCATAACCATAACTGTTGGTGGCGCTCATCAAGATGATTTTTCGTGTCATCGTGCGAATGATAAATGTTGAAAATTGTAAAGTTTTTTGCCAACATAGCGAGAATTTATCATATTTTGCCGACAGCTGGGATTCCTGTTTACAAATTATGCCACAAATGTGGGCAAAATGATAAACGCGCCGAATGAAAAGCAACTGGGCTAATGAGGCAATATCTTCGGTTAGATAAGATTCAAAAAGAATGATGGATTTTGTCCCCCCTTACATCTCACACACATTTGCAAGATTTCATCCTGGAGCTCATTTTCGTTTTGGATTGTTCATTTGTCGTGGGTGAAGTATTTATACTTAATTCAGGCCAAAAAAGAATTTGTTTATGTTAATTTGGGCCATTTATTTTCTGCTTTACTGCTCTCAATTGATTTTAGTTTTTTAATTACATTTTAGTCCCAAATTAATTGGCCTAATGCAAATCATATTAATGCCACTGTGCTCTGTGCTCAAATTTTCAATTTTCAATCAAATCCTTACACAATTTCCTCTAAGCCGAACTGCATTTAATGAAAATTTCGTTGAATCTTATATTTTACTTTTTGCTGACAGGTGGGCCGATTATCATGGCAAGCAATGTACAACAACAGCAACAACAGCGGCAGCAATATACTACAACTAGAGCGGAACAGCAGCAGCAGCAGCCAGAAACAACAACAACCGCAGCAGACAAGTGCGAGGAACAACCCGAAGGA